CAAAGACCTCAGCTTGGTGTCTCAAGGAACAGCCTAAAAGGCCAGTGTGGCTAGAGTGTATTAAGAAGTAGGAGAGTGTAGTGCAGGGGTCCTCAAACTTTTTAAACAGGGGCCAGTTCACTGTCCCTCATACCGTTGGAGGGCTGGACTATAGTTTAAAAAAAACTATGAACAAATTCCTATTTACACTGCACATATTTTATTTTGAAGTAAAAAAACAAACGGGCAAAAACACCCGCATGTGGCCCATAGGCCGTAGTTTGAGGATGCCTGGTCTAGCACAAGGTAAAGTCAGAGGGGTAGTAAGGAGCCAGATTTTGGAGGGTCTTGTCAACCATACTATGCTTTAGATTATATTTATGTACAAGGATATTCACTGCAAGATGAGTTATAACAGTGAACAATTTCTTTCAAACAATCTTAGTAGTTAACATTAGAGGACTGGTTAAATAAATTGACATATATCTATATATCAAATATATACAACTATTATAAATCATATTTTTGATTTTTCAAATTTTATAAAGTGATATATATTATTCTCATAATCAGAAACAAAGATGTTATCATGGTTTCTTTTACCTTCACAACTACAGAACAATGGTGATGGTTCTCATATGGAAAAGACTTAAGGGCTTGAATTTGACTGTAAACTCAGTATGAATCCACAAAGATGTGAGAAGAAAAAAAAAAGCAATTGTCATTTTGGGCCTCATTAATAGGACTAATAACAAGGGAAGTGTTTGTCACAATCCACTTGACAGTGGCCACACCACATTTAGAAAGTTGTACTCATTTCCGGATCTCACAATTAAAGATGAACTTTGACAAATTGGTATATAGTTGAGTTGGTGAAGATACTTGGGAACCATGTCATGTGGCGAATCACTGAAGGAACTATATTTAATCTTTGGGAGGATTTGGACAGAGGAGGACTAGGGAGTAAAAATTATACTCAGTGTTTTGAATGACTGTGCTATAAAAGTGGGGTTAAACTGATTCCATGTCATTCCAGATGGCAGAATTGAGTCCTGTGGTTAGAAGTTATGTAGAAACTATTATCATCTCAGGATAAATAGAGTTTCAGATAATTAGACCAGGGATGTTAGAAAGGGGCGTCATACATTAAACCAAGCTTTAAATGGCCACTGAGGTCTTTTCTGACTTTAACCTTTAACCTGTGAGCTCTGCCACCTCTATCTCTTCTAAGCCAACCTATCCCACTTTCTTCCATCATTTCTCTTTTAGCATTGTTTCATATAATTCTGGTCACCCACCTCTTTATTGTTTAATGTCTTCTTTATTAAACACATACACATACTATAAAGTTTAAAAACATGTAAGATGATTCCCTAACTTTTTTTTTTTTTACAAAAACTCATATATGGTAAAAGACATGCATAAGAATGACAAACACCTAATTCAGGAGATTATTTATCCCTAGAAAGGAGGGAGGCAAATGGGATCAGGAAAGAGTACACAGGAGACCTCAATTATATGTGCATTTTACTTATTAAGGGGGGTGGTGAGGACATGAGTGGATTTTTTTATTATTATTATTATTCTCTATGCTTTTGTATGCATGGAAAAAATTACGGTGCCCTAAGAAAGGATGCATTATTTCACATGGAATCCAATTAAGCAGGGTACAGTGAAATGGTTGCTCCCCATATTTTCTGAACTCCAAATTTCTGCCTGACTGCATTTGCTTTTGGACAGCCATTTAACACTATTGACTCACAGAACTTGCTCACATCTCAGATCCCTAGGCCCTTTTTGCACAAACTACTTTTAAGCTAGATTACGTCCCCCTATTGTATTTATATGGCTGATTTGGGGGAAGCCTAAATACCAAACTTACGTTTATCCCTGTTGTATCTTTTCTTTCTACTTTTAGCCCATAAGTCCAGCCTGTAAAAATATTTTTGAATTGTGATTCTGTTATCTTAATCATCCTTCCAGTTTTGTGTCACTGTTAAAGCTGATAAAAATGCCTGCCTTGTAGACTGGTTATGAGACTCAAATGAGATTTTGCATTTTATATATATAAAAATACTCTGCTCTGGGAGGCTGAGGCGGGCAGATTGCTCGAAGTCAGGAGTTCGGGACCAGCCTGAGCAAGAGCAAGACCCCATCTCTACTATAAATAGAAATTAATTGGCCAACTAATATATATAGACAAAATCAGCAGGGCATGGTGCCGCATGCCTGTAATCCCAGCTACTCAGGAGGCTGAGGCAGGAGGATCGCTTGAGCCCAGGAGTTTGGCTGACACCACGGCACTCACTCTAGCCTGGGCAACAAAGCGAGACTCTGTCTCAAAAGAGAGAGAGAGAGAGAGAGAGAGAGAGAGAGAAAATACTCTGAAAACTATACAGTGCTATCAGATGGAAAGAAAGGAAGAAAGAAAGAAAGAAAGAAAGAAAGAAAGAAAGAAAGAAAGAAAGAAAGAAAGAAAGAAAGAAGAAAGAAAGGAAGAAAGGAAGGAGAGAGAGAGAGAGAAAGAAAGAAAAGAAAGAGAAAATACTCTGAAAACTATACAGTGCTATCAGATGTAAATGATTTTTTTTTCATATCAGTGATTTATTAAAATGTACTGAGGACAAAGCAGGAAAAATGTTGAAATGTGAGTTGTATGAAAGTACAGTTAGGTAGATCTAAAGATATCAAGCAATTATACTCAGTCCTTAAATATATCTAAGTGTACTACCATCCAGTTCACAGTTCTTCTCTTTGCTCATAAATTTGTCATAAGAGTCTTTGTCAGTTGCCTTGCATTGTTATGGTATCCCTCTGATCTGTCCTTCAAGTATACTATCCAAAAAAGAAAATGGATTTTTCTGGCAAGACTTGTTCTATGGTAAACCTATGGTGGTTCTTGGTGATCATTGTTCCACTAAAGAAGAGAGGACTGAGGAGACTGAAGCTTGGTAAAGATGATGGTACTTTCCATGTTTTCTAGAAAGGCTTGTAAGGAAACTTACAAGGGAAGGTTCTTTAAACTAGTCTTCTAACCCTTTCAGTAATACATCTTTCTGCCTGTCTGTTTTGCAGTGCTCCTGCAAGGGCTGGTGTGGGAACAAGCAGTGTGGGTGCAGGAAGCAAAAGTCAGACTGCGGCGTGGACTGCAGCTGTGACCCCACAAAGTGTCGTAACCGCCAGCAAGGCAAGGTAGGTAGGATTGGTGCTGTTTCCTCTCACCATCCCTTCAAACCTCCCACTAGTTTCCACCCCTTTTTTCCTGCCTTCCATCCTGAAACATGGAGTCTCCTGCACAACTCCTCCTATCTTTCTCCTTCCCTCTGCACCCAGAAAAAGAGACATTTCATTTCTCAATCCTTCTTCCTTACTGCTAGCCTGTCATGTGCCCCCTTCAGAAGCCACAGCTTTTCCCAGGAGATTCCCAGGTATACAGCTCCCCACCCCCAGCCTTGGCTGGAAAGTTTCTGTATAATTTCTGAGGCAGAACAAGAAACAAGAAAACAGGCATTTACAGGCATATAGATACACAGGATCAAACTAGTCCAAAGGCTTAGCTGGAACTGTAAGAGCCACGTGCTGAGGTGGCAGCTTCTAAGAAGGGAGTTAATCCTTCTGACATCTTGAGACATTAGTTACTTAGAACCTCTCCATGGGAACCAGCTGTTCCGTGGCTCTAGGAAAAGGCCCACAGGAACCAGGCCTTTCTAATAGTCACTGTTGTGAATCAAGTTAGCATAGCTGCCCTAACATTGCTCCCGGGAATAGCAACCTCAGGGAAACAAAATGTGCCCTTAGAAGAGCAGCACCAAGCAGGTCAGATCCCTGTACTTGCCTTATGCCTACCCGTGCCCATGGCAAAGCATGCATTGCTACAGCTCTCAATATGATATACAGTAGTTCTAGCAAGCACAGCCTAATGATCATTCATCATGCATTTCTTAAACATCTGCCTGTGAACAGTTTTTCCCTGCATCTTCTATTAAAAAGATTTCTAAGTTAGTAGGCATCAGAGGACTAAAGTGGCAAGCTGGAAGTCTGGCTAAGAACTGTAGAAGTAGCAGAGACCTTAAGGATTCTCTATTTCCAAGGCTTTTCAATTTGGGTTCTAGATTCATGTAAGAGCTCCATGAAAGGGCCTCCTGGCAGAAGAGTATGGCCTGAGGTTGTTCAACCCCATTTTAATCAAAGCAACTTGGGATTCCTCTTAGGATTTCAATTGTTAAAACCACTTACCCAGCCCAATACTTCCATTTTACAGAGATGTAAACTAAGACCCAGAGATAAGCTTAAGTAACTCACCTTATATTACACAGCTGGTCAAGACAACTAAGGTTAGGCCTCAGGCTTCCTGATGCTTAATCCAGCTCTGTTCTCATGACAACAGGCTATAATTCTAATCCCAGCTCTACTGCAGAGTCACCTTGTTACCTGAACGACTTCTGTTTCTTGGACTCAGTTTTTTTATCTGAAAGGAATACTAATACAGGCAAACACCCTACAGGGGTGCTAAAAAGGATATTGTGGATTGTAGAGACGAGACGTTTAATCAAAGAAATGACGAAGGTTTGGCCTTATTTTAAACTTTCCCTCATGAGATGTCTTGTGCTGCTATCCTACCTGGTCCTTTGCCTTCAGAGACTGCCTCCAAGCAGGGCCTCCCTAAGGCTTGCTTAGACTGACTGACTAATCAGACACTCAGAGCTGTTACCTCACTGGTCAAAGGGGAGCAGACTTATTTTGTAACCCTGGGAGCCAAATTTATAACATGCCTGTCTGCTTGATTTTTAGGATAGCTTGGTCTCTACTGAGCGGACCCAGGATTCTGAAGGCTCCTTCAAACTGGAGGATCCCACAGAGGTGACCCCAGGAATGAGCTTCTTCAACCCCGTCTGTGCCACTCCTAACAGCAAGGTAGGCAGATATTAGCAAACTGTATTAGCGTCCTTCTCTACATTAGCTATGACAGACCAGTGGGAGAAAGGCATTTGGGGGAAAAGTATAATCCACTTGCTGTGAACTGGGAGTCAGGCACAGACTGGAGTTTATTTATTTTTTTCATAGAGCAATCTTAGGGGACAACTCATCCTACTGAGAGTATGTCAACCATTTGCAGTGGCTTGGCTGGGCTGAGCTTCTGCCCCTTTCCAAGGTATATTCATACCTGCCTCTGTGTCTTTCCTAGATCCTGAAAGAGATGTGTGATGTGGACCAGGTGCTGCTAAAGAAGACTGCCCCAGTTCCCTCCTCCCTTGACCTCCCCGAGTTGAAATATGTAACAACAGAATCCCAAGAAAATAAGGCTCCAGGGAAAAAAAAGAAACGAGCTCTGGCCAGCAATACCAGCTTCTTCTCTGGCTGCTCCCCTATTGAAGAAGAGGCCCACTGAAGTTGGAGTCATCATCTCTACCCCCAGTCTGGCTTGGAAGATGCTTTCAGGTTACAGCCAGAAGGGGTTTTTTTAATGACTTCTCTGGATTTCAGGTTGCTTGCTGTTGAAAAAAGGGCAGAGTGTTATTGAAAGAAAGGTAACCTTTGTTGGACGTTGGCCCTCAGTCTCCAGCCCCAGACTACTACTCTCTCTTCTCCAGAAGTGTGCTAAGCCACCTCCTGAAGAGAGAACAACTGACCTTCCTAATGATTCATCAGAAACCAGTCCCCAGTACAATCTAGCTCTTTCTTCTTTGTGAGTAGTTGAGACTGTCTCCTGATGGGGATGGGGCCAAGGCTTTCTTATCTCTGGGTTGTCTCTGCTTGATGGAGGAGCCTGGCTCAGCTCTTTTACCCCACCTCAGGAATGGGGCTGGGATCTTTCCTTTCCTGCCCTGCCCCTCTCTGGATTTTTAAGTGTTCTAATAGTACATTCAATTGTCTGCCATTTTACTGAAGTAAATGAATTATTTGTAAATGTTAAGTAAGTAAATAAACCTTAGCCCATGTACTGTTCGGGAAGATCCTTCTGTACTAGAGGGAGAAATAAAATTTCAATCTGCATTCCTCAGCCCCTGGGAAAGATATTAAGGAGACTCATTGCAAGTACCTGAGCACCCCCCCCCCTTCTTGTGGCTGCCCTCTTGCCCAGAGTATAGTGTGGAGCATGATGTGTGTCTTTATGTTGCTTTGCTGCCCTAGGAAATTGGAATAATGCTAGTAAGGCCAGCGGCCTGACCTCCACTGTAGAACTTGCCTCGCCTCCAGATTTGAGAGGAGAAATCGAGTGCCAGCAGTGGCAGTTCCTAAAGCCCTGTAGCCTGATTTCTTGGTATAGGAGGGGCATTGGGACCACACTGCTGTCTAATTGCAGGACAGAACAGCACGGCTCCTTGCTTTCTCCTTTGACAGGGGAGGAAAGGGGAGAGGCTTACTCCTTACTATGCATCAGGGTCCTCCATCTCTGCTTAAAGCTAAAAGGGGACCAGCACTGGAACGCTATACACAGGCTGTTGACTAAACTTGTAGCCTTCTGAGTCATTCACAAGCCCTGGGCTTCGTATCCATGCATTCTGAATCCCAGACTCCTACTCCCCAAAAAAGCTCACAGACCATCCCCAAGAACTCAGAAGCCAAGATTTCTCTAGAATGCACCAGAGTCCAAGCAAAGGAAATTGAACAACAACCTGCCTAGAATGAAGTCTGCAGAGGACGAGGTGACCCGCTGGTCCTCCCTGGCCTCCTGCCAGCAAACAGCCCTGCTTCCCTTTGCATTTTAATGCGGAGGGAGCAAGGGAGCCTCTGCCATTGCCAACTAGAGCCTCTGGATACAATGGGAAGGCTGAGAGGCAGGGGGGCTGGCTCTTGGCATAAGAGAGCCAGTCTTCTCACTGTTTGAAATTCAGTGCATGTTGGGCAGGGGGAGGGGAAAACGAGCTTATCCCCGGAGAAGACATCCTTTCCCACCAGCGCTGCACTAGCCCCCAGACACTGCATCAGCCAAACTGTAGCAAGGGAAGGTCAATCAAACCCACCCCCAGCCTACCCAGATCCCTGTGCTTTCGTGCTAGGCAGACTCCACCACTTGCTAGCCAGCCCTTTCCTGCTGATGCTATAGTAACAGCATCTTTTGTATGTGTTCATCTTCCAAAAGCCTGTGGCCCTAACATACTATACACTCCTCAAAGGATTCTTGGAAAGAGGCTTTAGATGCCTTGGGGACAAGACAGCAGGAATGACGTATGTCTCAGCATGCCCCGAATGAGCATCTCCTGTCTGGGGTGATGGGGAAGGGGAGGGCTGCTAATGTCACACAGGATCCACAAGGTCCCATGAAGACCCTTGGTCCAGAAACAGTGACCTGCTCCCCAGAGTTCAAGAAGTAGCTTGCAGCTACATCTCTTATAAATGCACCTTGCAGAAGTGGAAGTAGGAGCCCAGGAGACAGGGAGCTTGAGACTAGATCCAGAGTTACAACACACACACACACACACACACCACACACCACACACACACACCACACACACACACACACTCCTTTCCAGGGGGCTGGCTGGGCCCCTTCTCACTGCCAAGTTGCAAAGTTGTGTGGTCACCTCCCCCCAGCTTCCTCGCCTCCTTGAGCCAGGACAAAGCCGCAGCAGTGACTGGGAGGGAAACCGGAGGAGGGACAGAGGGAGATGGGGAAAGCTGCACAAAGGAATTCCTCACCCCAAGCCCCCTGACCGCCAGCGAGTAGAGAAGCAGATCTGCACTCCCTCCCCCTTCCTCCCTCCCATCTTCCCACCCAGGCTGGGCCCGGGCCATAGAGCAGCTGCAGGCCTTCTGAGAGGACCCACACAGCCTCCTGTAGGTGGCAACAGTGCCACCTGTTTGACCGATGGGGCTAAGCCAAGGACTGGAAGAGAGAGGAGGCAGACAACTCGGAGAAGAGCCGAGAAGCAGTGCAGAGCAGAGAGCAGAGAAGAGCTGCCGCAGAGAACAGGTGTGAGGGCTCGGGAGGGCTGGGGGCTACAGGAGGGGGCTGTGGGTGGAGACCGGCTACCCCAGACAGGGGACAGGGATTAGGCCCGGGCTTGAGCAGCACCCCTGTCAGCTCCCCTGCCTGGGGTTTTCAGGCTGCTCAGATCCTGATGCCATCCTTCAGACAGCTCCTGGAGGGAGGTGGGACTCCGGAAGGCAGTATCTGGGGTGCAGGGATAGGACCCCCGGGGGGAGGGTGGCAAAGGGTGTGGACTGGAGCCCAGGAAGGTTACTGCACCCCAGCCCAGAGACAGGTGCAGTCAGGGGTCTCCTTTTGGGTTGGTCTTTTCTTGGGAAGGGTCTCAGGAAGGGGAGAGGTGTCCTCCCCTCAGTTCCAGCTCATCACTCCTCCACGCCTGTCCTAATTCTCCCTTCCCAAATCAGCATAAAGAGGGCACTTTCAGGAGCAGCCACACTTTTCCTCCTTGCAGGGACCCAGCCACCGTGTACCCCCCTGCCCCTCCAGACTTCACAGCCTCAGGAGAGCCCTTATGACAAGGGGTCCTGTCCCTTAGATCACACACACACACCTTGCGTGTATCCAGGGGCTCCTTTACATACTCGAAGTCACCTAAAAGCCCATTGGACTGACTGCCACGAGTGCTGTCACAGGTACATATGCTGACACAAACTATGCACCCTCGCACGTAGAATCACAGTCACACACCCAGCCCAGTTCGGTGATCAGTGCTGTCTCAGCCAGACCAGAAACACAAGGTACAGAGATCCCCTGCCCCAAGACAACCACACCCCACACACACACATCACACACATGCTTACCTTTGCCCTGTATTTGTTAGACTTTCACCAAAGGTAACTCAGAGGGTGGGACCCCTGGAAGGGGGAAGCCGAGACTGGGTTTCTGGTTGGGGTCAGGGGATGACTAGGCAGGGAGTGACCCAGGCAAGCTGTTCCCCTCAAGTCTTCCGTTTTTTTGGCAGTGCCCTGCCCTCTGGGAGGTGGACGCAGAGAATCTTTCAGTCAGGCCTTTGTGATTTGTGTGCTCTCTGTAGCCATAGCAACTGGCCAATAAGCCAGGCCTCCATTAGCCCCAGGTCAGAACTGGAACCTCTGCTTCAGGTTGCTCCTGCTTCCTAGAGTGGAAAGCAACTCAATATGGGGCTGCCTCCCGCTTGGCCAGATCTGCCTCAACTTGCTGAACTGACTTTGCCCCACCCTGGGCAGTCTCTCCTGAGTCCCTACCCCTAAGCAAACAGTCCATTCCCAGCGCTGGATGCTGCTAAATGGGAAGGAGCTGGAGAGAGTGGGTATCCATCCTGCCTGCAAACAAGCTCAAAAAGACACCCTCCTGGGTGTCCTACTGACCTTCCAGGTATCAAGATTAGAGGGAAAGAAAGACCCTGGAGATTGTCCCCTTCTACCAGGCTTGGAGCCAAGGCTGCTCACTTCATCCAATCTGGCACTCTGGGCCTGCCCCGTGACTCCCGTTGCTGAGCAGCGTCCCAGGCCTCTGCCCTTCCCCGGGCTCCTCACATACACTGGGAGGGAGGCTGGAATCTGCCCTCTGCCAGGGTCCCTGATAGCCGAGTGTCCCTTCCCCCAGGCCTTCACCATGGCAGAGTCCCCCGGCTGCTGCTCCGTCTGGGCCCGCTGCCTCCGCTGCCTGTATAGCTGCCATTGGAGGAAACACCCCAAAGAGAGGATGCAAACCAGCAAGGTGGAGTAGGGATGGCGGGGGGGACAAGGAGGCCAGTCGTACTCAGAGGCAGCTGGGGGGAAGGGGCTTTCTCTCTCCAGGAAGAAAATCTCCCTCAAATATGGAAAAAGCCATGCCCAGAGCAGAGCAGCCCCACACGTGGTGGCAAGTTCCCTTCAGCTGCCATCCATTGGGGATTCTGATCTTGCAATAGGGATCAACTATGAACTTCTCTCCTGCCCCTTTGCAGTGTGACTGTGTCTGGTTTGGCCTGCTCTTCCTCACCTTCCTCCTCTCCTTGGGCTGGCTGTACATCGGGGTCATCCTTCTCAATGACCTGCACAACTTCAATGAGTGTGTCATGGACTCCCCCAGCCCTTCCTTAGCATGCGTGTCAACCTACTCCCCACCCTGGGACCCCTGGCTGCTCATCCCCCAACCTTGGGCATCCCCCCTCCCTGCCCAACCCCCCAAGCCCAGTTCACCTGCTACCCAACTGCCTTAGAAAATCCCTCCATGAAATTGTCCCAAGCCGTAGAGGCCCTGGCTTCGTGAGGGGCTTTCCCCTCACTCCCTTCTGGTCCTCCTAGATCCAACCACCCCCACTTCCCTCAGGCCACTATTGACACCCCTTCTCCCTCTTGGACACCTGCCTCTCCCCTCCCGCAGATTCCTATTCCACCACTGGGGACACTGGATGGACTGGTCCCTGGCATTCCTGCTGGTTATCTCGCTACTGGTCACATATGCATCCCTGCTATTGGTGGGTCCAGGGATAGCTGGCCTGTCCCACACCTAAGCCCTTCCTTCCTGCGCAGTTCTGTCCCCTTGTTCTCACCCTGGCCACTGAGAGGAGGGAGTGAATTCTTGGGTAGGAGGGGGTACCAGCCTGGGAGGCTCACCTCAGTTATCTCGCTCCCCTCTTAGTGCCTCATAAGTCCCACTGCCCTCTGTCCCCAGCTCCTGGCCCTGCTCCTGCAGCTCTGTGGACAGCCTCTGCATCTGCACAGTCTTCACAAGGTATAGTGGGGATGGCAGTGAGGGGGAGACGGGGCCACTGGGACCAGTGCTTGGCTTGCTATTTGCTCAGGACCTCACTTTTATATCCCTGGGCTCGAGCCCAGGATCCAAAGTCCAGTAAATATTTATTGAATGAAAGAAAGAAAGTGGACATGCCAAGGGAAGTGAAGGGTGAAGTCCTTTCTCCACGCAGTGAGGAGACAGCCCAGGTAACCATGAGCCCAGGTTGACAAGGAAGGCCCCATTCATCCCTGGTCCCCCAGGTGCTGCTGCTCCTCATTATGCTTCTTGTGGCTACTGGCCTCGTGGGACTGGACATCAAATGGCAGCAGGAGTGGCATAGCTTACGTCTGTCACTGCAGGTGAGTGGTTGATCTCCAGTGCCTAGGGAGCCTTTACCTGTGGCCAACCCCAGATTGTATCTTGCTCTTGGTCCTCCAAGACTGCAGGTAGCTCTGAATTCCAAGTGAGGCCCTAAAAGGAAAGGGGAGAGGGGCACTAGGAAGAGGAGCCCTGCTCACCAGCTCTTGTCCACAGGCCACAGCCCCATTCCTTCATATTGGAGCAGTCGCTGGAATCACCCTCCTGGCCTGGCCTGTGGCTGATACCTTCTACCATATCCACCGAAGAGGTGCCAACTCTGTGCCACCACTCGCCGTCACTAGCCATCCACCCATGCTCCTTCCTCCTGCCACCTCCCTGGTTTCCTGTACCTGTACTTTGCCTTCTGCCCCTAGAACTCCCCCATTGCCCTTTCTCCAATGCCTGTCTGCCACTCCCCACAGGTCCCAAGATTCTGCTCCTGCTCCTGTTTTTTGGAGTTTCCCTGGTCATCTACGTGGCCCCCCTATGCATCTCCTCACCCTGCATCATGGAACCCAGAGATTTACCCCCTAAGCCTGGACTGGTGGGACACCGAGGGGCCCCCATGGTGAGTGTTAGGCAGAATGCTAGGAGGGCGGGGAGTGTCTGCTCCTCTGGGTTGCAGTAGCCAGGACTGTGAGTTCCTAGGCTCCCAGCCTTCCCACCACCTGCTCACTAATTCTCTTTCCCAGCTTGCCCCAGAGAACACCCTGATGTCCCTGCGGAAGATGGCTGAATGTGGAGCCGCTGTGTTTGAGACGGATGTGATGGTCAGGTGAGAGAAGCTGGGGCTTAGGGCAGCAGTCCTCAACCTTTTTGATACCAGGGACTGGTTTCATGGAAGACAATTTTTCCACAGGGTTGGGGTGGTAGGGAGCTCAGGCAGTGATGATTGCAATGGGGAGCAAAGCAGCTGTAAATACAGATGAAGCTTTGCTTGCCCTCACCCTCCACTCACCTCCTGCTCTGCAGCCCTAACAGGCCACGAACTGGTACCAGGCCATGGCCCAGGGGTTGGGGACTGCAGGCTTAGGAGATTTGGGGGGTCTGTGGGACATATCAGGGGAGCTCAGGAAGTGACCAACCCCAGAGCTTGGCCCTCTGACACTCCTGTGCCCTCAGCTCTGATGGAGTCCCCTTCCTCATGCATGATGAGCACCTAAGCAGGACCACGGACGTAGCCTCTGTGTTCCCAGCCCGAATCACAGCCCATAGCAGTGACTTCTCCTGGGCTGAACTGAAGAGACTCAATGCTGGGACCTGGTTCCTAGAGGTGAGAACAGCCTCTGGGAAGATGCAACCACCTGTAGGGGCACTCAGAGAAGGCAGAGTTCATTTCAAAGCAAATGCTTATCAGCATTTGGGCAGTTAGTAACAGTCTGCTCTCAAGTCACTCCCACCTAGTAAAGAAGAGAGCCTGGGCAACAGACAATTAGAATAAGAAGCCTAGACCAATAAAAATATTTTTCCTGAGTAGAGAGGAGAGAGAGAAGTCACTGTTTGTCAGGTGGGTGTGGGAGAGGATGAAGAATGGATTCGCACGGGAGAGGATGCATGGGCAGCATGTGCCATGAGTTTTCTCATCTCAAGGCAGGGAAAGGGGATTCTAGGCAGAGAGAAGAGCACACATAAAGCCCAGAAGTATGAAAAAGTGTGTTTCCTAGGGAAGAAAAAGTGGCTTAGTGACACTGGGAGATACAATTCATGGGAGTGGTAGGAAGCAGAGGCTTGGTCTTGCTCAAGGCTCTGTATGCTGGGCCCAGAAGTGTCAACTTCAATCCATAGATGGCTGAAAATATTTGAAAGGATTCTTTATGTTTTCACTATCTCTTTTCCCAATCACAAAATTAATACATGTTTATTGTAAAAAAAATAAAACATCAGAATAATAAAAGAAATAACATAGAAATAGAAGTCTCCCATAATCCAACTCCTCTGAAATATTCACTGTTAATAGTTGGATACATACTCAGACAATCCCTGACTTAGGATGCTTCCACTTAACAATTTTTTGACTTCACAATGGTGCGAGAACGATATGCATTCAGTAGAAACCATACTTCAAGTACCCACACAACAGTTCTGTTTTTCACTTTTAGTACAGTATTCAATAAATTACATGAGCTATTCAACACTTTATTATAAAATAGGCCTTGTGTTAGATGATTTAGCCCAATCATAGGTTAATCTAAGTGTTCTGAGCACGTTTAAGGTAAGACAGGCCAAGCTATGATTACAATGGGTTTCATCAAGATGTAACCCCCTGGTAGTAAGTCAAGGTGCATCTGCATATACATACATACATATACACATAATCTTTATTTTACACAAATAGGATCATTACACAGACTCTTTTGCATTTGCTTTTTTTCTTTCCATTTAACTCTCTATATAATGTCATACCAAAGTGATTAAGAAGAGATATCTGGGTTTGAATCCTGACTCCACCACTTACTAGCTGTTTAACCTGAGGCAACATTTCTTAGTCTCTCTCTGCCTCAATTGCCTCATTTGTACAATGAGAATATTAACAGTACTAAGCAGTTAATATACATATACAAAGTACTCAGAACATGCCAGGCACATACTAAGTACTCAGTAAGTGTTAGATAGCTAGCTTTGTCCATATCAGCAATTAGGAGGTGAGGTCATTCACTGATAATAAATAAGGAGAAGAGAAGAAAGTGGGCAGAGGCTTGGAATAGTTACTAGGGAGAATGGGTGAGGGAGCAAATCAAGAGCAAATAAAAAGATCGCTAAGCAGTACTGAGAGTGAAAAATGGGACGACAGTGCCAGCAGTCCACATGGTGTACTCTGCCCAGAGCAATGGTCAGCCCCCAGTTCTAGGAGTGGAGGAGGCATACGACTGTAGAATTGAATC